TAGGGGGAAATATGTTGCCAAGGACGTCGCATATCGTCGACTGCCCTCTGTCGTATGTACCTGACGGTATAAGGAGAGAGTATGTAAATATCGAATCAACACGGCTAAAATAGATACAGTTTTAAAAGCTTCCATAACTGTGTTAACTTTAAGAAAAAAATATCTGTCACAGTACGTGTATGAGTGTAAGTGTGTACATGTGTGTGCTCGCGTGTGTGTGCTCGCGTGTGTGTGTATGTGTGTGTGTTTCCTTGTTTATGTGTGTGTGTATGTGTGTGTGGGGGGTGGGGGGGGCGGGTATCCGTGTGTAATCTGTGCACATTTACCAGTTTTTGAAAATTTAGTATATTTCTGCAGGCGCTTGTTAGTGTCATCAATACGTAAGCGCACGCACATCCATCTTCACCGCGTAAACACAACAAGAGATGGGAGGTGTCAAGACCGTGAAATTGCTTGCCTCAATAATTTGTCGACCCTCGCGTTTTTCGACTCGAATTGTTGTCTAATTGTCGTCTGTGTTAGCACACTTTACTACGAATGCTTTGTTCTCACAGTCAGTAATTGTTTGGCGCGGGAATAGAGGAGGGTGAGAAGGTATGTCAGTCTCAATGTAATTATGTGCAGTTCACTGACCGTAACTTCTTTCCACTCTACGAGAACAAACGAACACACTGGGGTCTGTCTGCTCTTATTTGATTGGTTCTTTGCAAGGACTTTCTGCATGATTGATGACCGCTTACACAAGCCACACAAAGTAATGACGCCATGGGCTAGGACGGAGCAGCAATGAATCAATGTTCAAAAGGCATGCAAGAGAGGAGAAATATCGACATTTATTTATTTGTTTTATTTGTAGCAATGGAGCGGTTGCATTTATGTTTAAACTGAGTCATTTTAAACGGACGATGTGTGCATAAGAGTTCAATAATTCATCAGTTTCTTTAAAGGGGTATTTATTTCTCGATGTCTTATGGATAAAGTGAGCTATTGGAGGGCACTGCTGATGGGTCTTACTTTTTACTCTCTCTCTCTCTCTCT